TGTGTGTGTGTGTATGACTGATTTGGTGACTGGAGGAACCCAGCCCCATTGAAGCTGAGTCCTGCAAGATAGCTCCACTGGGAGTGAGGACTTGCAGAAGGGAGATACACAGCTCCGTATAGAAACACAAGTAACACAAGCAGCACATTGATAGAATTACCAAGACCCTAGAAACGTATCCCTAATAAATGAGCACACCCCAAAGTGATAGGCAAATCTGGTAACATCAGCTCTGGGCATCCCTTGAGGTGGGTCCCTGGCCCTTTGATCCTTCAGGTCCTGGCCCCAGCATTGACCAGTCGAGGGATTTCAAGATAGGTTTCTGAGTCTGTAGCCTCACTCTCACTCCTGGGTCCACCTTCTGACACTTCTATGGGGTAACCCACCCAGTTGTGGGAGCTAGGGTTATTAAGGCACCCTGACCTGCTTTTCACCGGGGTGGTAACTGGCCTGGTATTTCCTGGGGGCCCCCAAGCCACTGAGAGCCCCACCAGGCCACCCACTCCCAGCAGGGTGAAGTTTTAGGTCATGCCCAGGACCAGGAACCTCCTAGCCATCCCCTACAGCTCCTCCCTTACCTCCAGGATGTTCCAAGCAGCTTTGCAGCCAGACAATGATACTGCCTGGCCTGGCCTAGCCTGCCAGCAGCAAAATGCTCTGTTTATGTAGGCGGCCAAAGATCTAGAATGGCCGCTGCAATCAAGCGCCTGTTGACTGTTTGGCTCAGGTCTTAAAGTGGCAGGCACCAGCAGCGCCCTGCCACACTGCCAAGGGCTGGCTCCCTACTGGTTGCATGGAAGAACGGGAGGAATGGAGTCTCCTGCTTAGCCCAAAGCTAGAGGTTTAACCCTGTTGCAGCTACTGCTAAATTGGCAGCAACTTTTCGCTGTGCAGGAAGGTGAGGGCAAATGATGCTGACAAGTAGACTGTCCTTATTTCTTGTAGCCAGAATTCAGCACAGCTGGTAAAATGCTTTTTTTCCTTAATTCTACCTTCCCAAAATAAAATGTCCATCTTATCTGGAGGTGTTTAGCATACAAGAAAATACAGTATTACTCTCCCCTGAGTGTTGGTGCATATAGATGGAAATGTATGGTGCTGGGAGTTTGGTGCCCCAAAATCAATTTACTATAGATTGCTTTATAGGAGTTACTTGCAATTGTTTTTTGGGGGACAAGGGGAGTGAGGCAGGACCCTTCTCTTCAGTCCTTGCCTTGGCTGTCCTTCTTGTAGTACGGTTCATTCCTTCCTGATCTCTGTTCTTCAGATAATTTGGATGAAGACCTAACTTGCTTATGTAAGGAGTGCATGTATGCAGGTTGCATATACTTTTACATATATCTTGATTTTCTGTATCTAGTAGAAAAAAGTGATACCAATCAATTTTAATAATTAACACTTTCTGTAGAAACAGATTTTCTAGGACTCATTAGTGCAGTTCTGTCTAAAGCAAATTCATTTGGGCCTTTTTAGATAGATGTATTTAAATAACATGGTACAGAAAAACATTAAAATGAATTAGGATAATACTTCCATAAACATTTTTAAAAAGGGACAAATTATCCCAAAAGGAGAAATTTCACTTTATCTTGGATCTCTCTTTTACAGTTTTCAATTTTGAAAATACAGACTTATTTACTAATGGTATGTGCACAGTCTGCCACTCAAATAGTGATAAACAGATGGGGGACATAGTTACCATGCACTGTTAGCTTCTAAGTCATTCGCAAAGGTGCCACTGCTGGTGACAAATCCAAAGATACATGGGTATGTATTCAGACATTTTGGTATTCAGGTATTCTTGTGAGATAATTTGCAGATGCTTAGCCATGTCAGCCTATTTCCACCTGGCTAAAGAAGATAAAATGTACCAAAAACACACCTGAAGAAGATAATATATAAATGTCATGCTTTACATTCAGACCATTCAGCCAGCTCCAGCAGATCAACCAACTTCTTGGCAACTATAGACAACCTGTTCTTGACACAGGCTGTGGAGGGGCCGACTAGGAGTAAAGCTGCTCTGGACTTGGTGCTGACCAACAGGGAAGATGTGGTAGGTGACCTGAAGATTGGAGGTGCTCTGGGTGACAGCGATCATGATTTGATTAGATTTACCATCCACCAAAAGGCTGGGAATTCTACCAGCAGAACAGAAATCCTAGACTTCAGATAGGCAGACTTCGGTAAGCTCAGGAGTCTAGTTGGTAAGACCCTTCACAACTATCG